TTCTCTTTACGTGGACGATATTTTATTAGCCAGAAATAATTTGGAGTATTTAAAAAATATCAAGTCATGGCTTTCAAAGTTATTTGACTTGAAAGGCATGGGTGAGGTAGACTATATACTTAGAGTTAAGATCCAAAGAGGCCGTTGCAAAAAATTACTAAGTCTATCTCAAGAAACTTATATAAAGAAAATTTGGAGCGTTTTTGCATGAATAGTTGCAAATCTATGGATACTCCTATAGAGAGGGGTGAAATTTTAAGCCTTGAAATATGTCCCAAAACTGAAAATAAAAAGGAAGACATGTCTTGAGTTCCATATTGAAGTGATGTCAGGAGACTGATGTACGCTACGATGTTTACTGGTCCAGACATTTATTATAATGTAGGTGTAGTTAGCAGGTATCAATCCAATCCTGGAAGAGATCAGTGGAAAGCTATGAAGAGAATTTTTAAATACCTGAAGGGAACTGTAGATTATTCACTATGTTATAGTGGAAATGATTTATACTTGAGAGGATATACGGATGTTGATTGGGCTGATGACCAAAATGATAGAAAATCAACATTCGATTATGCTTTCTTACTTAATGGTGGTGTTATTTCATGAAAAAGTAAGAAACAAACATGTACAACCCTTTTACCGATGGAAGCTGAGTTCCTGGCTTGTGTGTCTGCAGTACAAGAAGTTGTTTGATTGAAGATATTATGTGAGCATTTGGATATTACAAAGAACCTTTAGGGTCACATGACTCTATATTGTGATAGTCAAGCGGCTATTGCATATACAAAAGATCCTAAGTATTATAGGAAGACCAAACACATTGACATCAAGTATAACTTTGTGAGAGACATGGTAGCAAGTGGAGAGATAAATTTACAGTACATTCCTACCCGAAGTATGATAGCCGATCTTTTTACAAAGGCAATATCTAGAGACTTGTTTGAGAAACATGTTATGGTTCTAGGTTTGCGAATGATATGACCATGTTTATGTATTGTAAAGTGACTTGATTATTTATAATATGCTCATCAATATTTGACTCTTGAATTTATGTTCATATCTAGTATGCATGTGATGATATTTGTTGATAAAGCGTGCCGAACAAGTCGCAAGATTGACTCTCTCACACGAGCAATCGCCTCTTACGTTGAGAATCATGAAGAGATGAGACCTTATAGAATCTTGAATAGTGGGAGGTCATATTTCACTTGTAAAGGTTGGTCTTGACAACTAGTCAGACTTACGAATTCCACCATTCAATTATGACTTATTTTGTAAGCCAGATGCGAGTTTCTCTAAGAAGATGGATTGAGGATTATTAAAGTGGGAAATTCGAGTTAGACATTTATAGGTGTCTAGACCAATATTTGTACGGTGTTGAATGAGTAAAAGAATAAGACACGCACTAATATATAGTAAGAACACTGTAGTACGTGTTTCATACCATGTATGCTTAGCAACCAATGGGTTAATAAAAGAATAGATCCATGCTTCTTCATTGTGTGATACCCAGAAAGTTAAAATTGACTTTCCATTAGAATGCCCTTTGACCTTTTTACTGTATCTTGAATTACCAATCAATATTGCTACTTTAGCATGTCATTAATAGCTCCGAGTGATTCGGTAATACAGTGTATGTCTAGGAAAGCAGTTGATCTGGGATGGATAGTTTCGAGCAGAAAGGGAAGACAACTAAAATAGATAATATAACTTGTATTCACAGGTCGTCCATTATACTTACCATAGGAGTAGCAAGTGTAATTGTGGATAAAGTTATACATGAACTCAAGTTCACCTTTTTTCGAGGATGAGGGATCGGATAACAAGCTATGGGAGTAGCCAATGATGTTTGGGGTATTGCGAGTAATGAGATCTTCATGTTAGAAGTAAATCCTTTACGCATGTGATTGGATATCTAAATAGAGATGTTAAACAACCTTAAAGGGCTTAAACATATTATAGCTCTTAATGCTTGTAGGTCGCACATCGCACGAACTATTTGCCAATATGAATTACGTGTGTTATTGTCACGGTACTAGCTTGGATCTAGTCCACCATGTGCGAAGTGGGAGATGTTGGATATTGGGTTTGAGTTACGGGTCGCTCATGTGGACTGACCTGACCCACTTAGAATAGATAGGCCTGATGGAAGTTAATTACCATGGAAGTTTATTAACTTCCAAAAGAATACGAGAAGTGTCGCACGTACAGTTGAAGCGATCAGCAATTCTCCCCTTCTCCTCTTCTTTATATATTTATCTTCAGTAGAGATTTTAAAAAATGCAGAGATTCTCGCTCACACAAAAAGATAGAACACGATAAAGTTAACGCATCTAGTTTGTGAACAAGAACTATATTTCCTAGAGATTCAAAGTACGACTTGGCGCTATTATTTTGGTGGTGAGTTCAATAATTCTTCTGTTTCATTATTGACAGATACGCTAATGTTGTTCTCGCCTCGCAATTTAGTCTAGCGTTATTGGTAAGGAAAAGGGAAACTCATGACTACCTACTAACCTTCTATCCTAATTCTCGACATTCATATCCTCCTATTTAGGGTCATGTCCTCAGTAAGCTGAAGCAACGTCATATCATGTCTAATCACCTCTCCCCAATACTTCTTATGCCTACCCTTACCTCTTCTTAGACCCACCATGGTCAACCAATTCTCTAGACTGCGGAATTTGATCTTTAAAAATGAAATCATGACCAATGGTAAGAAAATGGACGGCGAGGAGGAGATAGACAGAGAAAAAATCTCCTTAACGATCTAAACAAACTCCCGGATCCTTTATGTAGTACTGTTAGCTTGGGATATTCCATGGGATTAATTACCCCACATTCTATATAGAATAGCTAATTTTACCATTTTAGTGTAAAAGTTACTTGTGATTAGTTATTATTCTTATCCAATGTACGTAATGACCCCTTAGTTTTTGCTTCTTCGTTATTTTATCTCCCTGCAGAAAGAGAGACCAACTTGCTTGGTTTTTGTAGTATCAAAAGAGGCAACTGAGGTATTGAGTTTTATTGAATATCATATGAAGCTGACATAAGAAACATTGATGTTTGGAATTCGATTCTATAACAGGTTAAAACCTAGTGTTTTTAATTAATTTAAAAGGTATAATATGAGAAAGGGTAAATTGATCATACTGTAATTATTTTGAATTAATAATAATTAAGTTAAATAAATGTTACAAAGAATTTAAAATGAGGAAAGGTTGATGTAATAATAATAATAACATCGCATTATTATTATTATTATTATTATTATTATTATTATTATTATTTTGTTACTTGCACTTTTTTTGTTTAATTTTGATAATGATATGATATGAGTTGAACTAAATGAAAGGAATGAGGATTCATATCGTCAACCCCAACTTGTTTGGGATTGAGGTGTTGTTATTGTTGTTGTTGTGATGTAACATCACAAACCACGTGAGAGATAGGTTTTATGAAGCCAAAAATGGAGGAAAATCTCTGAAATTATCTATATATTTTTTTAAAAGGAATATGTGTATTTATAATTTTTTCTTTCATAGAGATACTATTGTTTCGAAGAAAATTGGGAGCTCTTACAAAAGGCTAACCTCTAAGAAAATTACAACTACTCTAACAAGGTTTATTACTTTGCACGATTTTTCTCAAAACTATTTCTCCCAAAATAAATCCGGAAAAACTGTGCACCCGAGATCACCACTTTAATTTTATTAATAATTACACCTTTTCAGCAATATTTGAATAACTTTGCGCTCTTAAAAAATTCAAGAAAAAGCGGTCATTACTTTAGAAAGTCTCCACCAGTCGCCCAAAGTTCAAACCACGCTACACTTTTTCATCCTATTACTCTTGTCCACATTCCACTTTGCGGATGTCTTAAAACATTTTCTGCATTCAAGAACTGATATACAACTAACTTTCCAACATTTTCCCTGCTATAGACAGTATAAATCAAGCATCAAACCAAAATTGCCAATTTTTTGGTTAGATAGGACATCTATTTTTATTCATCTACATTTAACTTTTAGAAGATCAATAAGAATCGTGAAACAAACTATGTATGCATGTATACACGCGAACTTGTGTGCAAGCGCGTTCATTGCTTTCAGATTCAACTATATATATAGTTGAAAATTTTATATATCGAAACGCAGTCTCTTTATTCATGCATCCACAGAACAAAAGAGGTGTGGTGAGGTGCATCAGATAAAGATGAAGTGAGGTGCTGTTCTTAAACAGTCTAATCCGAAGTGTGACTTCTTTGTCATTATAATATTCCAGTAGGAACTCCTCATCACTATCTGAATATAAGTAATTTGAAAGTTCAAGTGATTGAGAAGCTGCAAAATTACTAGCTGCGGATGACCTATGTGAAAGAAGTCACTCCAGATAAAATTACCTAACAGAATTTAATTAAAAGTATTTCACTTATGGAACCAAAGATAAAACCAAATAATATCAGAGGTACCTGTACTTCTTAAGAAAAGTGGAGCACATTCTCATGATATTTTCCTAAACAAGCATTCAGCTGTGGTATCGACAGGAGAGTGCTCTGTGTGGCAGTAAACAAGCATTCTCATAATGGAGATTGGTCGTTGGCGAAAACATGAAAACTAGCTCCACTTTTTCTGAAGCAGATGTTACCTTATTTCCTTTGTGGCGAGCAATCTCTAAGGTTGTCATCTGCAACAGCAAAAGTGTAATATTAGCGAGTAACTAATAACATCATCGCGGAAAACTACTTAACACAATCCAACAAGATACCTTACAGAGATCCTGAAACTCTGTCATACTTCCTGACTTTAACAAGCTGAGTAATACTTGACACTATTCTCGTGTGTTCTGAGACGTCTGATGACAGCTGTATTTTAGCAGTCTCACAATGTGCCAATATGCAAACGTCAAAACAGAGAACCTAAATCAAAGAGCTTCAGATTTTCAAGTTAGCTTCTTCACGAATGCATTGACATGCCCCTTATTATTTCCAAAGATTATAACACTCAAAACTGCTCATCACTTTTCTCCGACAATAAAGTTATATCAGTGAATGTACAATATCAAGTCAATATTTGACTCACATAAAAAATGAGATTTCAACCATGATACTGCATTCAACCTACATAGCCAACAGAGCATACAAGAAAGGTGATTTAGACATTTCATGTCCCATTGCCTGCTCCCGGATTATAACCTACAACTACAAATTATAAGCAGCAAGGTTTCTGGAGCTCTCTTTTGACTGTTTGCAGCACTGAAAAGAGGCAACTAATAATAATGATTCTAACTACAGAACACTATTCATTTCCATACTCCGAAGCACTCAAATATTCACCATGCTCCTCAAAGTACTCAATCAACCTCTTCAAGAATTTATCACCACTGACTGTCTCAGTATCACATACAAGACAGCACTGTCTCCTTGCTCGTGTCACAGCAACATTCATTCTCCTTCTGTCACTAAGAAATCCCACCTAGTCAGGAAATGTTTTCATATTAGATTCACCATGTTGTTACTCAAAATGAGCAGTTTAGCTATACATGAGAGTTCCTACAATTGTGAAGAGTACCTCTTTCTTTGAGTTTGATCGGACCATAGAAATGATAATGGCTTCTTTTTCTCGACCCTGGAAACCATCAACAGTCGAGATCTCCATTTCTTTTAATTTTTCTTCATTGCTTTTGAGCTTTTTCAAGAAAACGACCTGCACACATTTTTAGTATAACTCAAACTTGAAACCAGCTTGGTCTTTTTATTATTAATCACACTTACCTGTGCTGCATAAGGAGTGATTAGTCCAATATCAGAAGCTCGGACTCCGCTTTCGACTAGTCTCTTTGCATGGGCAATGGCAACCTCAGCTTCACCTTCATTCAATGTGCTATCTTCCTCATCCTTTTTTTCTTCCATGTCACACCTGAAATATATAGTGTGAAGACCTGAGCATAGAAGTTACAGGTAGATTTTCTACATGTACACAGGTTCTCGTTCTGGTACCAGACCACCTCGACTTTCAACTTTAGAACTTCCCTATTTGAAATGGGAGAGAAGAATAACCCCAAGAAATGAGAGAAGAGCCAGTACCCAGCTATGTCTATGAGCAGAAGGGTTGATTCTGTGGAAGGTGTTTTCTTCACATCCTCAAGGTGATATAACATATGACTGGCAACACTTGAATGGGCTTCAATCTACAATCATAAATGCAGCAGAAAAGTTTGGATAAAATAGATGTCAATACGTTTCATTGATATTGTTATATTAGAGTGTTGTAGAAAATTAATAATGACGGAAAACATTTTTATATTCAACCAACAGTTAAAAATGACCGAGCACCTTATTATCATACAGCTCTCCAGATGACCAGTTCATAATCAGTTTATGCATGCGGTACTGAACAGTGAGCATAGATGTGATTTCATCTCCGTACAAATCTGCTAAACGTTCAAAAAGTGTCTTTCCCAGTCCTTTCTTCTCAGCTTCTACACTTTGAATGGTTGGCGGAAGCTGGAGATGATCTCCAGCCAATATACACCTTGATCCCTGTAAGCAAGGAACCACATCATTAGCTTACAAGAATTGATAACTAAATATGATCCCTTTTTCATCTGTTTTTCACTTCTTCTATTTCGTTTTCAGTGTTATTAAAAGCCGTTGCTTTATTGCTTAAAGTGATGAAGCTATGCAAAGCAAGCGGTTGCTTCATGGATGAAGCCACGTGCTTCAGAAATGTGCACTTCAAACAATGACGCGCGAGGTGATCAAACGAAAAAACGGAAAGTTCTTTCAGTCTCAGCTTTGAGCAGTTGGATTAATATCGGAATTATTATATCTGATGTTGCAATTAATTATTTTAATTGCAACTATAGTATTATAGAACTAAATTCATATAAGTTTGATATTTTTTATTTCACGTACATTCTTCGTTTCATTTCAAAGAAGAGTGTGCTTCACTTTTCACTTTCGCTTCAAGCCCCATGAATCTTGTCGCTTTTGCACAGAGTTTTCAGAAATATGGAATAGTAAAAGCACAAGTAACTGCTACGTTGATTAGAAACTTGAATCACAATAACCCAGCCACCAACATATGGGAGAAACGCAAAATATTGAATAACAATATTATCAGGAGAAGTTAACCCATAAGGGCTTTAGACTAGCCAGTTAAGCTACTTCTGATTAGCTTCTTTATCATTTTCTCTTGATTTGTTAAAGAATCCACGCACCTAAACCTCCTCCTCCAAAAAATAGAGAGAAGTGAATGGGACAGGAAGACCATAACATAAAAAGTTTAAAAGTGACTTCCAACCAATAAAGCTGTTTCTACAAGAAAAAATCTTAATTCACAAGACATAGCTAATTACACCGTGACGAAGGAAGCAAACCACTGCAAAAGTGCTGGCACTCGATATACAAGGCTGAAGTAAAGATTCATCTTTGACTTGAAACTTCATTCCACAAGGATGTTAATGACTATCTCACATAAGGTTTGTCCAATTAATTTAATATCTTAAAGTAATGAGTCTTGAGCACAACACAGATGACCCAATTACTCGTCCATGGCAAGAGGCAAGGTCTGGCCCCACCAGGAAAACCCCACTTCATTACTATGAGATTTTTTTAAATACCTCTGGCAACACAAAAGGTCCTTCCAGTTATGCAGGCTGAGTTGGAATGTATAGCTCTCGTATGTCACATTCCAGAAAATGGACAGGTAGGTTCAAAAACTTAGCAGAAGATCTTTCAGTTTTCATTTTTTTCCTTTGGGAAAACCAGCAAATTTGTCATCCAAAACTCAGACGCCAGTCTGCTAACTCAGCTAATTACATGAATTGACTACTTATATTGTGTAAGAGAACTTACAACCCAGTTCTCACTCTCCTACATCCATTCATATAGAGAAAGTTGATGTTATATTAATCAGTAGTCTAGCAGGAGTTACCTAAAGAACTGATTGACAGTTTCTTAACATCAAAAAGAATCTAGCAAAAACTGATCCATAGAACGGATATTTAGGCATCATTGATAGCATTTTCACCTTCAATAAAGCAATCCAGCATGCTATTTCCAATGCCTGAGCAGCTTCATCAATAATAACCAAATCAAATGACATGCCGTCCAACTTCTTTGACAATGCCCCAGTCAATGTTGTCAGGACTACATCTGCATTCTTAAGAACATCTGTTACTGCTAGCTGCTGCCTTTTACGCTCTTCTTTGGAAAGAGACTTGAGCTCCCTCCTGATATCCCTCTTTGCATTTCTATCTTTAGCTTTTAATAACTTTCCATTCAATGTCTGCAGAATCCATCATGAAACAAATGGGACAAGGCAATAGTTGAACAGAGAATTATCAAAGTGTACACAAAAATGTCAGGCCTTAATGAACTGCAGAATAGGAAAAAGAATATCTTAGACCTATCTTGATAATTCAAACTTCCAAAAAGAAATCCTTATACTGAGAGTTAACTTCCTCTGAATCCTGGACAAGCTAAAGAATAATTGACAACAATTGAGTATATCATACCTTCATCTCCTTGCGGATGTCATTTGCAAGAGCACTATTATCACCACGGAGAACCTATAGAGAAAGAAGAAATTACAAAATGTAGCCCTCGGCCATTAAAAAAGAACTTTAATCAACAAAAAGTGCATGGGAAAAAAAGGCAACTTATTGCGAATCAATATAGTTCAACCCAGATCAAAAAATCGAGTAAGAAAGGCGGGGAAAGCAGAGTATGAATGCTGGCCCGCCCTATCCCCAGGAATCCTTCACAACAAACAAAGGTTATAAGAAACTAGTGTGCTCTAGTCTATTTTTAAGTAGAGTGCACTTAGAAAGCAAGAAGGTGTAATTATGCTCCTATGTACTAAAAGAAACAGACACCATACAAGAAAACAGCGCGACCCAATAACATTCTATGATTCGAGATTCTTGCCAAATGAAAAGGAATATCACCTGGGCATCAAGAGCGCTATCCAATACTTGTGGGAGCATACGTGCCGGATGTCCCAATCTCACCAACTTCACTCTGCAAAACATGGACAGAATAAACCCATTAACAATTCAAATAACATCACAAAATCTGATAACTAAAAATAATCATTTTGTGTAGCTCAGAGCTAGGGCATGAAGTCCCTGCAGAAAAGATGATATAATCATGTGTCTACTAGTACGAGTTGCATCATCAAACTTACAGTTTACACATTATCTTAAATAGAAGCAAATAATACAGGTGGGCAGGAAAACAGACTGCAAGTCAGACCAACACCTAAATTACAAACTCATCCAAGAGCAGACCAAATGTTCCGGTCAGAGGGACATAATAGTGGCACCATTTAAATTAAACCTAAGTTCTGAAAGGTAAACCACACTTCTGACCATTTTAAGTTGTAGTATTTGAGATAGTGGAAATTATTTTCACCTGTCTTATTGGAACTTTAGGCGGTTATCGAAAAAAAAGATAGAAAAAATTACACTGAAAAAGATCATTTCAATACAGACATCAGTGTTTCACCCTGAGGAGAAAGGTGCCAACTAGAAGTTAATCACCCAAGACATATTTACCTGTGTGGAACAAGTCTCTCAACAATGTTATCAACAGCAATATTTGAAGCAGCACAAGCAAGGATCTTTGAACCACGTTTCGCTTCCTGCAAAATAATCTCAACAACAGTAGTTGTCTTCCCAGTTCCAGGAGGCCCATGCAGCAAAAATACGTTCTTGGATGAAAGCGCCTTTGAGATGGCATCTTTCTTCAAAGATTAAGGACAAGGTATCAGTTTATAGCAGCCAGCATACAGATCAGCAATCATCGATACTGCTTAGTGCCCATTACTCCATATTAAATACAAGAACACCAAGGTAATATGCAAGGCAATGTACCCTAAGTATCTGCTTTGTTTAAAGTCAATCAACCAATCAACTACCCTCAATCCAAAACTAGTTGAGGTTGATAAAAAACAACTAAGTATTAAAGCTAGTTAGTTGATATTTCCTATATGGATCCTTTGTTTCCGTTGTATTCTGAAATCAGACATAAAAAGGGAAATACTAGAAGCGGATTTCCCAAAGTTTTGTAATATAAGATGAAACCTGAAAATAAAGATGAGCCAATTGGAGTGATTCACTCAAATCATTCACTTTTTCATTTCTTTTCTTTTTTTTATATGAAATGTACTTTTTCATCCTTGTAGCCCTATCGTCAAATTTTTAAGATGAAAATTCTTCTCCAATATGGATCATTTTATGAGAACGCAATTGCTACAAGCTATGTTGCTCGGACTCTCCGAAAATGTCGCCGGATGCGTGTCGGATCCTGCAAAAGTAGTGTATTTTTGGAGGACCTGACACAGGTGCGGTAGCATTTTAGAGAGTCCTCGCAACATAGGCTAAACGTGTATTAATGGTGTTGATGGCTGAAAATATGTGCAACTCAATAGTTTTAACATCCAGGTGCCAAGAGTGGAACTGATTTAAGAGGCTGGCAAACATTTGACAAGCAGTCATAGAACAAATGGAAAATTGCAGAAAAACAAGCCATTTGGACATCCATTTGCCAGAAGCTAGAAGCTAACACTATGTAGCTTTCAGTAAGCAAAGGTTAGGCATTTAACATGGACATCCCTGCCTGCTCCTACAGATTTCTCAAAGCGCAAGTATTACAATTTCTTTCAACTTAAATCATCTCTATGGTACAGATTTAGGATAGTAACAACAAATCTTTGGTATCTATAATTAAACTTTATGCATTAATTATTTATACTTGCAATTTTGTCGAGGCTTCTCTAAAGACTGGTACAAGTCAAGATGGTATACACATGGTCAAATATACCAAGCAAGGTTCTTTATGCCTCTCTGCCAAAAAAAAAGGGACTAATCCAAATACTAGTTTTTAGGAATGCACCAGTAGAACACGTAAAAGACAGAAGGAGAGAAAATGATGAAGTAGGAACAGGGGCATGTTTAAGAAAAAATAATTAAAACGATTGATGCCTCCACAACCTGAGAGTGATCAAGGTTGCGATTAAAAGGAGTGAAATTG